TTAGGGATGTGAAACTATTTTGTATGATATTGTAATGGTAAATACATGAAATTAAGCATTTGCGTAAAATATGCATCTCGCAGAGATGTGATGCATTTGTCATAACTGATGAACCACTATTATTTCCATATTATTAACTAAGATCCATAGTTTATATTAGATTATTGTGTTGTTAAAGTACCATGGGTTTTTCATAATGCATAACATTTTTTTTTTTTAAAGAGGCATGTATTTTTATTTATTTATTTGTTTGTTTGTTTGTACATGCACTGGGTACAGTCAGAAGCGCGGGAGGGTGAGAGAATTCACCAGAGTCAGAGCAGGGAGCAGAGCAGGCAGAAGGACCGAAGTACACTGCTGAGGGGAGCAGCGGGCAGCAGGAGAGGTCTGCGCACCATGCGGGACCCTCCTCCGGTGGCCGGGGAGCAGCCGGGGATCGAACTGGCGCCGCAGAGGCTGCAGGCAGCTTTGCAACCCAGCGCACAACCACTGCGCCACCAGGGAGGCCCCATAATGCATAACATATTATGATAAAGTAATAACAGATAAAATTTCTGCTAGTTTTTTGTAAACCTAAAGCTGCTTAAAGAATGAAGATTATTAAATTTTCTTAAACTATGTAAGTATTAAGCTGCAACAAAGTGATAATTACAATAAATATTTAACAAAGGGAAATACAAAACAATTTTTTGTAGAAATGAAACAAAGCAAGAGAAAAATCAAATATGGAAATTCCATGAGAGTTGAGTAAATTACAGAGGCATTGGAATCAAAAGCCTTAAAAACAAAGAAACCTGGAAATGGTGTCCTAATGTTCCTAAGTGACATGAAATTCATGGTGTAATTTTGTTTATATTCCATACTATAAGCCAAAGAGAAACTACCAATTCAACGTTCAGTGAATTTCAAAACATGGACTACTACTTATGTAAATTTTAATGCATAAACTTAAAAAAATTTCTAGATAGATTTCAATTATTTTATTTAATTTTTTGTGTGTGTAGAAGAACTGGGGTGTAGGCCAGAGTTGCGAGGGGTGAGAGGATTCATCACAGACAGAGTGGGGAGAACAGGTGGATTTACTGAAATACACTGCTGAGGGGAGCAGTGGTTGAAACTGGAGAGGTCTGCTGTGCCATATGTAGGTTAGCTCCCTGGCCGGGGATAGAACCCAGGCCACAACTGTGATAGCACTGAAACTTAACCTGTAGGACACCAGGGAAGCCTCCATAGTTCAATTTTAAAAAGGTAATCGTTTGACATGATCTCCCTAGTAAAAAGAAACATTGTTTTAATGTATATTGTAGAAAGCATGTCATAATTTTAATACTGTTTCATCTTAAATTTTTATACTGTTTTATTTAATTTTTAAACTACACACCCATTAGTTTAAAGGCAAAAGACACTGAAGAAAGAACTTTTAACCAAGATACATCTATTTTAGGGCCTCCCCTGGTGGCGCAGCGGTTGAGCGCTGGGTTGCGAAGCTGCCTGCAAGGGTCCCACATGGTGCGCAGACCTCTCCTGCCATGCCCACTGCTCCCCTCAGCAGTGTATTAAAAAAAAAGAAAAAGATACATCTATTTTAAAAACTTGAAACTGCAAAAACTAGTAATGTAGTTAGAGCATTCTTTTCATAACCCCCTTTCCTTAAAAGGAGATTGCAAAAGAATTAGAAATTTTGATCCAGGTATCACTGTTAATGACCAAAGAAATCATGATGATGTATCATCATTTACTCAAGTTAAAAATTTTTTGAAGATCTTAAAGGTACCAGACTAGGGTCTCACTTCATTCTACAACACCTATACTTTTTACAAAGAGTCTACTGCTATCGATAATTATTTTAACTATCATAATAATATTCTCAATGGTAGTTATGAAATTATAAAAAAATTTGCTTATAGCTTTACAATAAAAATACTATTTAGGGGGCCTCCCTGGTGGTGCAAGGGATTAAGATACAACCGATGAAGCTATCCACAGCCACACAGCACAAGTTCAATCCCAGGCCAGGGAGCTGCCCACATGGTGCAGCAGACCTCTCCTGAGTTACCGCTACTACCCTCAGCAGTGTATTTCAGTCATTCTGACTGTTCTGTCCCCACTGTCTCTGGTGAATCCTCTCACACACACACCCCCACACCTCTGGCTTGTAGCCCAGTTCTGTATGCATAAATAAATCAATCTTTAAAAAAAATACTATTTTAGGAAAATCTAATAAATGCAATGAAATTTATGTGTTATTTTCCTTCTCAGATATGTAGGGTCAGAAATCATTTTGCACTCTTCACAAATAACTTATATTTTTGGAGTACGTAAGAAGGAGTACAATGAATTCCAAAGGGATTGAATTTTTTTTCATAAATATTACCCTAAAAGAACAAATATTTACTACACTGGATATTTAATTAAAACATGTGCATGTGCTTTATGTGTTAATATTCTTAGTCTAAAAGAATGTTTGAAAAGCAATCTTTATTGGTTTTAATTCAGTGAGAAATTTTTCTAATTAAATGAAAAGGGTCAACAAATTGAAAGCATATATTCCTATTGTTAATAATCCTTTTTAATTGGTAGTAATTTACATGTATTTAAAATCTTGCCCAGTTGCCAGTGTTTGTTCACTAAAACTGTTGACAACTGTTGAGCTTTTACATAGAAATGTTTGTAATACTTATGTATTACAAACATAAGTATTTGTAAATGGTACTACCCTTTTAAATTTTTAAATCTTTCCCTTATTCATTAGAATATGGTTTCATTACAACCGTTCTTATATTGTTAGATTATTAATTAAGCTATCAAATAAAACAGATTCAATAAAAACAGATTCAAAGGATTACACAGTATAAACTTAAAATCAAGCCACTTCAGGGCCTCCCTGGTGGCACAAGGGGTTAAGCATAGCACTGTGAAGCAATCCGCAGCCTCTGCAGCACGAGTTCAATCCCCCCCTGGCCAGGGAGAAACCCACATGGCACAGCAGACTCTCTGACTTCCCTGCTGCTCCCCTCAGCAGTGTATTTCAGTCATTCTGCCTGTTCTGTTCCCTACTCTGTCTCTGGTGAATCCTCTCATCCTCCACATCTCTGGACTGTACCCCAGTTCCTGTATGCATAAATAAATAAATCTTTAAAAAAAAAATCAAGCCACTCCACATAAAGACTAACCTAAGTACTTTGGGCAGAGAGATGGATAAATTTAGAAATGAATGATAATACTGCATGTGCAGTTACTTGCCTGGAAAAACAAACATCTGATATTAGTTATCCCATTCACCAGTAAATGTAAAAAATTAATACAAATGGATTAAAAATATCTTATTGTATCTTTCACACAATTAAAATAAAAAAAACAGGTTAATGTAAGTAGGTAAGTACTAATATTAGTCCATATGCAAAACAGAGTTAACACAGCTGATGAGACTGCTATAAGCAGAAAAGGCCTGCTTTGAAAGGTTGGGGCTTGTCTGGCACCTCAGACTCGGATTTTGAGAGTGCCCCAATGATTCATTTAACTGATAAGAGTGACCACTATATCTAAACTGTTTGTAAAAATATGGTACATGATGAACACCTGTTCTTTTTTTGGGAAACCTAGAGTTTTGGTATGTTTTAAGGCAGTAGTAACTGACCCTTGATGAAAACTCTAGACTCCTAGGTTCCTGGTGAGCTTCCCTGGAAGACATTTCATACACACTATCACAACTCACTGCTGAAATTAAGGGCATCCTGTCTAACCCAAGTCAGAGAGGATACTTGGAAGCTTATGGTTTCCTCTAGAATTCAACCTTTGCACTTTTCCCTCTGTTGATTTTGCTTCATATGCTTTTACTGTAAAAAAAACAGAGCCAAGACTATATGCTGAGTGCTGTAATCCACACAGCATATCAACAAATTTGGTTGATGTAGGAGATGTCCAACACACTACATAAAGCACTTAAAATGCCACCCCTGGTGGCACAGGGTTTTTAAAGTCTCAGCGCTATCAAGCTATCACCAGCCACTGTGGCATGAGTTCGATCCCCAGCCAGGGAGCTAACCCACATGGCACAGCAGACCTCTTCTGTCTAACCTGCTGCTCCCCTCAGCAGTGTATTTCAGTAGATCCAGCTGTTCTGCTCCTCACTCTGTCTCTGGTGAATCCTCTCACCCCCCCATACCTCTGGCCTACACCCTAGGTCTTATATGCATAAATAAAAATAAACGTTCAAAAAATATTTAAAATTTTGAACTTAAAAAGGAAACTATCATACCATGACACAAAATACTCAGAGAACTTTTCTCTTTGGAGCACTAGGTGTTAGGTTTAAATAATAAATAGAATAATTATTTAATCAATCATTAAACATATCAAAATAAATGAATAAAATGTAGACTCATTCATGGGCCATGAAAAGAATTCACAAGGCCCATGACAGAAGGAGATTTCGATATATGGAAAGTGAATACAACAATGTGATTTTTGGAAAAATAACAACTGAATAAATCCTCCCATCTTCAGTTAAAACTTTATAAGACATAACAGCTACTAATTAAACCTTTATTTATAAAAAATTTGCATCTTATCTATTGAGCTTTTTATTTACTTGTTAAACATCCTTGTTTATTTTTGTCACAGTACAGGATTTCTCCCCTCAGTTATGGTCGCCACAGTTTTCCCACCACCAAAGTACCCATAGGCCTCTACCTCCTGTTTTCTGCTCTCTCCATTTCCCTCCTTGTTTCCCTTCCCTCAGATCGATTCTCTATAGAACTTAGAAATATTTATATGACAGAAAATGGAAATAGTTCATACATTTCAGAAATTAGCCTATAAATAGTATTACAGTTATATATACTCAAAGAATAAATGTGCTCATGCATACATTGTAAAGAAAATGTATGGCTGTCTCTATGGCTGTAACAGGTAACTACTTTGTAAGGTAGGAACACAATGCTATATTATAACTGCCTGTATTTTTCAAGAGAGATAAGAATATTTTCATTTAAACATACCTTAACTATTTCTTCAATGAAACAAATGTGAGAAACAGGATCTCTCTTTTTGGCTAATATTTTTTGTAGATGTTGAACCTAAAACGGGAGAGAGAATATATGTAATTGAGTATTTTCAAATAAGACAAAGCGAAGGCACTAAGAAACATCAAAGGAAGGAAAATGACATTTTGCTACAACATTTACATACATTTATAACCTTTACATACATTATAATTTTGACCTATAATTATATAGGCATTTTGAATGCTCAGAGATTGTTTTTAACCTTTTTAAATTATAAATCACTTTATTATTTTATCTTTTATTGAGGTAATACTGGTGTACAAAATTTACATGATTTAGGGTACAGGTTCACCTCTTCAGATGTATTTACCATACCATACTATACCATACCATACCATACCATACCATACCACACCATACCATACCATACCTTACCACACCCATAATACTATACCATAGTCCATTAGGCACCCTTCCCACCTTCCCCTCTAGTTCAGTCTGTTCCTCTGTTTTATTTCTTTATATTCCGAATATAAGAGTGATTTCATCCAGCATTTGTCTTTCTTATGACATATTTCACTTAGAATTATCCGTTTGTTTCATCCATGCTGTCACGAATAGCAAGATTTCATCTTTTTTTTTTAAAGATTTATTTTTTTCCATAAAACATTCAGTGTTTTTTTTTCTTTTTCATTTTTTTAATTTTAAATATCATTTTTTACATTTTTTTAGACAATATTTGCTTCCCCCCACCCCCTCAGATTGAGTCCCCATAGAATCTCCTTCCCCAAGGCACCCATGCACCATCACCACAAGAGCGGGGGTACAGGCAAGAGATGTGGGGGGTGAGAGGATTCACCAGAGACAGAGTGGGAACAGAACAGGCAAATTGACCAAAGAACACTGTTGAGGGGAGCAGCGGGCGAGACAAAAGTCTGCTGCGCCATGTGGGTTGCTCCCTGGCTGGCTGGGAATCCAACTCATGCTGCAGAGGCTGCAGATTGCTTCATAGTGCAGTGCTTAAGCCCTTGTGCCACCAGGGAGGCCCAAAATTTCATCTTTTTGAGAGCTGAGTAGTATACATTCTCTTATTCTATTCATTTGTTGGTAGGTGCTTATGTTGTTTCCATAACCTAAATGTTCTAAATGTTGCTGCAATAACATGGGAGAGCACATATCCCTTGAAATTAGTGTTTCTGCATTCCTCAGGTAGATACCTAAGAATGAAACTGCTGGATCATATGGTAGTTCGAATTTTAATATCCTGAGATATCTCCATACTGTTTTCCATAAGGATTTCCAGTTTACCACCAAGAGTATACAAGGGTTCCTTTTTCTCCACATCCTCTCCAACACTTGGTGTTTCTGGTATTTTTAACATGGGTCATTCTCACTGTTGTGAGGTAGTATTCCTCTGTGGTTTTGATCTGCATTTTCCTGATGATGAGTTTGTGTTTGTTGGTCACTTGTCTCCTTTGGAAAAGTGTCTATTTAGCTCTTCTGCCCATTTTATATTGGGTTGTTCTTTCAGTAGAGTCTTACAGTGTTCACTGTAGTCTTTTACCTCCCTTGTCAAATTTATTCATCTTGTGACACGGTATGTTATGATTTGTAACTGGGACTGCTTTCTTTTTCTCGTTTGTTGTTTGCATACAGAAACATAACAGATTTCTGTATATTGATTTTATAGCCTGCCACTTCATTTTATTAACATTTCTAATAGTTTTTTAGTGATCTGCAAATAGAGATAATTTTACTTCTTTTTGAATTTGGATTCCTATTATATTTTTCTCTTGCTCAACTGCTCTAGCTTGGACTTCCTATATTATCTTGGTTAGTCATAGCAAAAGTAGACATCCTTCTTGTATCTGACCTTAGAGGAGAGATCTTCACTTTCCACCACTGAGTATGATGTTAGCTATAGTTTTGTTGTACACAGCCTGTACACAGTTAAGTTCCTTCTATCCCATTTTATTGAGTTTTTATAATTGAATGCTTGTCAAATGCCTTCTCTGCCTCTACAGATATGATCACATGATTCCCCTCCCTCCTTTCCTATTGTTGATGGCATGAGTAATACTGATTGATTTGTAGATACTGAACTATCCTCATATCCCTGGAGTAAGCCCATTTAGTCATGGTGTTTGATATTTTTAACATATTATTGTACTTGCCTTGCCAACCGTTTGTGAAGATTTTTTTCATTCTATGTTCATCATGGATTGGTGTGTAGTTCTCTTTTTGTGATGTTCTTGTGTGCGTTTGGTATCAAAGTAATGCTGACCACATAAAATGTATTCGGAAGCATTCCCATCTCCTCAATTTTTGCAAGAATTTTAGAAGGATAAGTATTAGCTCATCTTGAAGATTTGGGAGAACTTACTAGTAACACTATCTGGTTCTGGGCTTTAGTTTTTGGGAAGACTTTCGATAACTTAGAATTTTCTTGCTTGCAATTGCTCTGTTCAGGTTTTTTATTTCTTCCTGAGTCCGTCTAAAAAGGTTATAGTCTTTTAAGAATTTGTCCATTTCTTTTAGATTGTTCAATTTATTGACATAAAGATCTTCATAATGTTCCCTTATAATCTTCTGCATTTCTGTGATGTCTGTTGTAACTTCTCTTTCATTTCTGATTCTACTTATTCACCCCTTTTTTTTTTTTAGTGAGTTGTGCAAGAAGGTTTGTATTTCATTGGTTTTTCAAAGAACCATCTTGTGCTTTTATTAATCTTTTGGACTATCCTTTTATTTATATTTTGTTTATTTCTGCTCTAATTTTTATTATTTTCTTGCTTGTACTGGCTTTTGATTTTATTTGTTCTTCTTTTTCTGTAAGGCTAGATTATATAAGTTCTGCCTTGTTTCTTAATGTGGGCTTGTATTGCTATATATGTGTCCCTTAGCACTATTTTTGCTGAGTCCCATACACTCTGGTAGTTTTATCTTCATTTTCATTCGTCTCCAGGTATTTTTAAATTTCTCCTTTGATTTCCTCATAGCCCAATAGTCATTCAGTAGTATGCTGTTCGATGGCCACATACTGGAGAATTTTTCTCATTTTCTTGTGTTTTATTTCTAGTTTGATAGTATTTTAATTAGAGAAGACATGATATAATATCAATCTTCATGAATATACCAACACTTGTTTTATGACATAGCATGTGGTCTATCCTCAAGAATGTCTTCTGTGTACTAGAGGATATGTACTATTGGGAGAGGGGGTGTTGGTTGCAGTGCCCTATAAATGTTTATTAAGTCCATCTGGTCTAGAATGTTCAGAGATTTTAAGAAACCATCCCAAGGTCATACATCTTGGAATAACCAAAAGCTAATCAATATTTAATGTTCTCTCCACCCTCTAAAATATTTACCTGTCCACAAACAGTGCAAATATGATCCACAAGTTTCTCCATATTGGTCCAGAGAGAAGCACGAAAAGCTGCAGTGTTTCCTGGAGCTGGCATAGTAGATCGCCCAGGTCCCCCTGTTCAAAAGTGACAAATATAAAAAAATTTAATTTTCTAATATAACAAAGTGCATGTTATTATGCAATGCATATACAAGCTAAAAAATTGTAAGTTTCTTTCTTATGAAATAATTTCTTTTTGAAAAAAAAAGATTTATTTATTTATACAAGAACTGGGGTACAGGCCAGAGGCGTGGGAGGGTGAGAGAATTCACCAGAGAGAGTGGGGAGCAGAAACAGGCAGACAGATCAAAGACATTGCTGAGGGGAGCAGCAAGTGAGACAGGAGAGGTGTGCCATGCCATGTGGGTTTCCCCCTGGCCGGCTGGGAATTGAACCTACGCTGCAGAGGCTGCGGACAGCTTCACCGCGCAGAGCTCAACTCGCTGCATCACCGAGGAGGCCCTGAAATAATTTCTTAGGAATGATATAGAGAACAATCTTACCATTTTGTTATGACAAGTAGAAAAACATCACCATTTTGCAAGTTAATTGAGGGAAGATTTTCACCAGCTACTAAATCACAGGATGAAGTGTTATATGGGCTAGGATGTGTTATTCACATGGATCTGAGTATTTGCTACAAATTACTTACTAATTACAAAGTATAGAGAGTATTTTTACACAGAGCAATCTAGCAAATACCACCATAATGAAGTGATTATATTTAGCATCCACAATTATGAGACAGATTGACATAATTTTAGTGCTTCTTAATATTATGCAATGAGAAGCACACACCATCACCATCCTAGTGTGTTTACTCTGGATGTAATCATTAAGAAACAATCATGTAAATATCTAGACAAATTCAGATTGTGAGACTCTCCAAACATGTTAATGGCATAAAAGAAAAAAAAAAAGACAATAGGGTTTTTTTAATTAACGAAGAGTAAAGAGACAACAGAAAAGCCTCTTTTTTTAAAAGATTTATTTTTATTAATTTATGCATATAAGAACTAGGGTGTAGGTCGGAGATGCGGGGGGTGAGAGGAATCGCCAGAGACAGAATGGGGAGTAGAACAGGCAGATCTACTGAAACACACTGCTGAGGAGAGCAGTGGGCGAGACAGAAGTCTGCTCAGCACCATGTGGGTTAGCTCCCTGGCCAGGGATCTAACTCATGCTGAAGTGGCTGGTGATAGCTTGATAGAGCTGAGACCTTAACCCCTGCACCACCAGGCAGGCCCAGAAAAGCTTATGATACGTCATTATACATTTGCCCAAACTCAAAGCAAAACATCTTTTCACATGTTGATAGCTATGTCCTACAACGAATTGCCTATTCATATTCTTAATTTTTTTCAACTGAACAATCTCTTTCTTATTTAATTATAAATGTTACATCATGGTTATATTTTTCTTTAAATATTTACTAAAGCTACATATGTATTTTAAATTTTGAAACACTCTTGAAACTACAGAAAATTTGAAGGTGTAGTTAAAAAAAAAAAAAAAAGCTCCTGACTCATTTGACAAGTTACTAACACAATGCCCCAAACCCTAGGAATGCTTTAATGTGTATTTTCAACAAACAAGGACATTCTATTACATAATGTCCAATATAACGTATAAGATCATGAAATTAACATTACTACAACCAATGTAACATTTCAAAATAAAAATAATAGCTATTATTCTTTTAAAATATAATAAAGAAATGATGCAAAAGATTTCTACATTAAATCAGGATATCTATTCATCAACAGATGATAATAAGGCTTTAAAACTCTTTATTCTTTCAACATTCAGGGAGTACATCAGGACTGACAGCATGTGAACAATTGCTCTCATTTTTTCCCCTATTCTTGACAACACAAGAGGGAAAGACATTAAACTGCTCCTGGAAATTTAAACATTAGCTCAAACTTTCTGAGAATAATTGCTGGGAAAAGCTGAGAGTGAAATCTCCTTTGGTAATTTCTTTTTAAAGCTCTCCTTCTGGAATAGTCTTTATGGATGCCTATTCAGAGGCAAGGGCTAACCTTTAAAAATCCCTCTAAGATCTAAAATTTCTTTTATCTCTTTTTATTTAATGAAATTTATTTATGAGTGACATGTAGTCTATTATTTAGAGTAAGGTTATATAAAAATAGTCAATAACCACACTTTTTTTTAGTATTAGCCATGTATCAGGAACTATGTTATAAATTGGACATGCATTATTTCACTTATTTTTTAGGACAACTCAGTGATGATTGGAACATATTCTTCAACAGGAAAATGGGAAGAGAAAAAACTAGAGACAGTAAGTACAAACAACACTTTTAGAATTTTTCAATGTCTGAAGAAATAAAATGGGGTAATATTGCTGGAAAAAAGAAATGGAGTCAAGATTTTGGATTATCTTTTAGCAGAAGAAACAATAGCACAATTGTATGTGACAGGAAATAAAAGGAAAAACTGACAATGTGGCAAAGAATGTTAAAGCCATGCCTTTGAATGATAGGAAATAATACAAAAGTAGAGAATTTGGTCTTTGCTAGAAGCAAGTAAGTACATCATACTAACAGGAGAAAAGAAACAATATAAAGAAAGAAATGTAGAGATGGGGTTGCTTAGGTTAAGTGAGAGATACACAAATGTGTACTGCCTATCTATGACGTGTTACATATGTGATTATCATCTTCTGGTACATTTGGTAGGTACAGAGTTGCAGGCTGCTGATGTAGGGCCACCTCTTTCCACAGTGAATCTGCCTTTCTTTATTAGTTTCCTTTAGATTTTGCTATTGGTGTAATGTCCCCAAAGGTGTAATCAGTTTCTATTTCCACAGGTAGTCATTATTGCTCCTGAATACGAGCATTATCATGCAGAAAGGTCCAGAAAGCTAAGGTAGAGATTACATTTTCCTTAAAAAATATTTTCTGTCTCAATAAGTACTTGTGGGGCTAAGGATTTTAGGAAGAAAAATATGTTCCTTTTGTTCCTTTTGCATCTGTTTCCTCTGAACTAAATGATGCCACAGTTTATAAATTTTTATCTAGAAGTTCTGAATATACCAATTGGCCAGTTCAACTCACTAATCAGTGAGTATCTAATCAGACAAAAAAGTTATAAATAAATTTCTGAAACATAATTTCGTCTCTCATTTTCTGTCTACTAAAAAATGAGTCATTAGATTGCTTTGAAACTTGAGTGTTTCACATACTATTCAAAGGACTTCTCTGTTTTAAATAAATAAAGCAACTAAATATAAACCACATCCATACCTCTCACAGCTGACTGGGAAGGCTGAGTCAAAACTTTGATGTCTAATGCACTGTTGATATTTTCTTCTAAAGCAGCACAATATCCATCCACGACACTTGTAATAGTATCCTTCAAAGTTCCAAGATTATGGAAAACCTGAAGAGCTGTTCCAACCTGGGTTGGGTTCTATAAAAAGGTGAGGGCGGGAGTGATAACAAACATAAGTAAAAAAACAAACAAAATCAAAATGAATCTACAACTTTTAAGTATTACTTCAACAGTTATTATGACGTTTTAAAATTACAACGGATAAGAACAAAGACAATGCATTTGGAACAAACATTTTTAGTCATTATTTTATAAAAGACAAAATTAAATCCCCTGTATATTATTTACTCCCCTTTCCCTGTTTCTTCTCCTTTCAAGGAAAATAATGAGATCAGAAGTTTGTTATATCATTAGAGCTCATTTAAAATTTACCACAAATTCCCACTGAGAGAGCCATGCAGGAACTAGCAACAACAGTACATTTCTTTTAGAGAATACATAAATGAATTCTGAGGAGTTATCTGAGGATGGATCCATGCAGACTGCCAGCATTCATTACAGTATACTGATTCACTCTAACCACAAATACTTATACAGTGTGCTATGTGTCTGCTTGGCTATATATGCTGGAAATACGGTAGTCAACAAAAACCAAGGAGTGACTGTCCTCACGGAGCTCGTATTTACAGAAAAATGTATTAAAAAATGATGAGTGCTATAAGCAGGGAGTACTAACAGAAACTAATGGGCATTACCACACAAAGAAGAGTCAGAGAATGCATCTCTGAGTTGGCATTTGAACAGAGGCCTGCATAAAACATGGAAGGGAGTCTAAGGAGGACTGGAGGAAACACTGAGCAAAAGGACCAATAAAAAGGAATGGGCTTAGTAGTGAAACAGCAAGAAGGCAGGCCATTAAGGTGCCTGGAGCAAAGTGACTGAAGCAGAGGTAGGCAGTAGAAACTGAGTAGATTAAATCCATAGTGATAGAAATAGGCTAACAGGATTTTCGTCAGATTAATGATGCATTTTATTACATGGCTTTCTGCGCATACTGAGATGATCGATTTTTCCCTTTATGGAAGAAATTACTGGACTGAAGTCATCTTGGTCATGATAAATTATCCTTTTTAGATGTCCATGACTTACTTTTGCTAATAATTTTGTTTAGTATTTTTGCATCAATTTTTAAGAGACAGCTGACCTCATAAAACACATATAAGTGTTCCCTCTTTCTCAAATCTTGGATAGAGTTTATGTAATAATGTTTTATTTAATGAATGTTTGGATGAATTCATCTTGGAGTTTTCACTGAAAGTATTTAATGATAAAATAAATGTTGTCAATAGACTCATTCAGATTTTCTAACTGCTCTGATTTTTCTAGTGGTATTTCTGATAAATTGTTTTTCTGGAAATTTCTCAATTTAATCAAAATTGTGAAATTTATTCATTTTTAATACTGGCAATGTGTACCTCTTTTAAATATTTTTTCCTACCCTCATTAGTTTTTTTTATAAGTTTAATGTATTGAGCATTAAAAATAATTACTTTGGCTTTTTAAATTCTATTATAGTAAGCTTTTATTATTCCTATTCCACAGACTTTGGAATCAAACTTAGACAGAATCCAAAACACTAGTATTTAGTAGCTAAAACACTGGCAAAGTACATACCCTGCCTTAGGCTTAGTTTCCTCAACTACACAATAGCAAAAATAATACCATCAATCTCACTGGTAAACTGAATAATCCTTATACCTCATAGTAGCACTTAAGATAGGGAGAAGCATTCAATAAACATTAGTTGCCTTTATCTTATCTGCTGACATTATGGATAGTGGAAAAATGTGTACTTTTAAAATTAGACAATCTTAAATAACATACTGTCAGGTTACAAAGAATTCAAAGAAAGATTAAAAAATACCTGAACAAAACAAAAATGAAAACATGGGCTACCAGACCTATGGAATACAGAAAGAGCAGTATTAAAAGGAAAGTTTATATCAATACAGGCCTAGATCAAGAAGCAAGGTAGAACTCAAGTAAATAATCTAACTTTACACATTAAGGACATAGAAAAACAAGAAGAAATGAAACCATAAGCTACTAGAAAGAAGGAAATAATAATAATGAAAAAAACTAGGTAGAAATAAGTGAAATTGAAATTAAAATGTCCAAAAGATCAAATGAAAACAAAAGCTGGTTCTTTGAAAAATATACAAAATAGAGGTATGCCAGAAACAAGAGAAGCTACAAAAGACATCAAAGAAGTACACAGGATCATAAGGGAACACTGTAACATCTTTATGTCAATAAATTGGACAATCTAAAAGAAATGATACATTCTTAGAATCATATACCCTTACAAGACTGCTAACAAACCCTCTGCTAACAACATATTCAGTGGTGAAAACTGAAGGTTTTCTAAGATTGGGTACAACACAAGGTTTTTGACTAATACCAATAAGAATTGGTTTACTAATACATTATTTATGTGACTATTGACAAGACTGTTGAGATAACACATTTAAAAATCCCTGGTACAGAACAAACCTAAGTGTCCATTAACAGAAAACTGGATAAGGAAATTGCTGGGGGGGGGTATTTATTTATATATGTATATATGTAAATCATATTTATAATATATATATAGTGTGTGTATATTCATTGCAATGTCCACCCTGATTTTTGTGGAAACAGTACACTACATATAGATGCTATCTCCCCAAGATAACAACACTTGAAAGGGCCTTCATATCTACTAATTTTGTCACTGATAACACAGGTAGAATACTTACTGCAATCACTGTTCATTTAACAGTCAATGAAATGAAGATACCAAGAGGATAAGCCTGCAACTATTTGGTGACAGGCCAGTTTTAAGTCTTGGGCCTTCGACTCCCTACTATAGGTTACCCTGTCACCACTGATTTCCAGATATATCACCTTTGCAAAGGAGAAATATTCTCTAGCAATTTTAAGAGACCTAAAAATAGGCAAACTAATAAACACATTTGAAAAATAAATGCCAGGAAAAGAGAAACTTTTACAGAAAAGGTAGCAATGTCTTCTACACAGTTTCTTCTCCTTAATTAGATATTCAATATTCTAATGATAATTTTCCTACAACTTGTCACTGTGACTCTCAACAAATCACTTAACCTTACCTGAAATGCCTCATATTCATAAATTGTAACATAAAATTAGATTTAAAAAAAAAAAAACCCACATAACAGAGTGAAAAAGATAAGTTCACAAGTAGACAGAATAGACTTCCACCTCTTTAAAAGCATTTCAGAAGACAACACAGCTATTTTTTTTTTTTTAATACAAGAACCGGGGTACAGGCCAGATGTGCGGGAGGATGAGAAGATTCACCACAGACAGAGCAGGAAACAGAACAGGCAGAATGACCGAAATACACTGCTGAGGGGAGCAGTGGGTGAGATGGGAGAGGTCTGCCCGCCATGTGGGTTGCTCCGCAGCCGGCAGGGATTGAACCGGCACTGCAAAGGCTGCAGACAGCTTCACAGCGCTGCGCTCAAGAACCTGTGCCACCAGAGAGGCCCCAACAGCCATTTTCTTTATTAAATTAAAATTATGTCTTCATTTGGAAACAAGTAAGTATGATGTCATTTCTTCTTTTCTTTCTTTTTTAACATCTCAGTAACATTACTGAGAGGGGAAATATAATCCTACAAGAGTAAGGTCAGAAAAGAAGCATGGCTGTTTGGGGTTCCTATAAAACTTGCTAAAACAGGAACACTGTAACCAAAGTAACAGCTGGCATTGAGCTAGCTGAATAGAGATATAGCAAGACTGCTCTAAAGATTGTTCCATGACACAGCAAGCAATAGTCTATTCACATAATGCTATTCACATTAAAGTATAGGCTAAAATTCAGATAATCTTTCTGAGTATAAATACATCATTATAAAAAGTTTGATGGGATTTTCCTCAACAAAATCCTTGCCAACAGAATCCAACAATGCATCAAATGGATAGTACACCACGATCAAGGGGGATTCATCCCAGGGGCACAAGGATGGTTCAACATATGAAAATCAATAAGTGTAATCCAACATATCAACAAAAAGAAAAATTAAAACCATATGATCATATCAATAGATGCTGAGAAAGCATTCGACAAAGTCCAACATCCATTATGATGAAGGCACTTGAAATTCTCGAGATAGAAGGAACATACCTTAGCATGATAAAAGCCATATATGACAAACCCACTGCCAACATTATTCTCAATGGCTAAAAGCTGGAGGCCTTTCCTTTAAGATCAGGAACAAGGCAAGGATGTCCTCTCTCACCACTGCTCTTCAATATAATACTGGAGGTCCTAGTCAGGGCAATAAGACAAGAGAAAAACATACAAGAAATCCAAACAGGGAAAGAAGTAAAACTATCACTATTTGCAGATGATATGATAATATACATAGAGAACCCTAAAAACTCCACAGAAAAACTACTCAAAATAATCAACCAGTTCAGTAAAGTAGCAGGACACAAAATCAACACGCAAAAATCAGTAGCCTTCCTATACACAAACAATTGGAAGAAAAAAAATCAAGAAAACCATCCCTTTTATAATTGAAACCAAAAGAATAAACCTAACACAAGAGGTGAAAGACCTATACAAAGAAAATTATAAAACACTGTTAAAAGAAATTGAAGAAGACACAAAGAAATGGAAAGACATCCCCTGCTCATGGATTTGAAGAATCAACATTATTAAAATGGCCATCCTCCCAAAAGCATTATACAGATTCAATGCTATTTCAATAAAAATCCCAATGACATTCTTCAAAGAAATAGAACAAATACTGATGAAATTCATATGGAACCACAAAAAAAAAACACAAATAGCCAAAGCCTTACTGAAGAAAACAAAGGAGAAAGGAGGTATCACACTTCCAAACTTCAAGCTATACTACAAAGCCATAATAATAATTAATACGTTTTATCAACGTATTTGGTATTGGAACCGAACAGAGAGCCCAGAAATAAAGCCACACTTATATGAACAACTAATCTTTGACAAAGGAGCAAAGAATATGCAATGGAACATGGACAATTTGTTCAATAAATGGGGCTAGGAAAACTGGACCTCCACATGCAAAAAAATG